TAACTGACTCGTACAACATGGAATTCATATAAAACCGAATAATCAACAGTGTTATAGAGGAGTCGACTGTACTCACGAAATTTGAAAATTGACTAAATATCTTCACAGATTTCACAATATAAATTAATAAGTTAATTTAAACTTGTTAAAAGATAAATAAAATCAATTTATTTATTTATTTACTATAGATTTTTTACTAGAGAAAATACGAATTTTTTTAAAGAACTAATTTTATTTTACAAAAGAAAAAAACAGTAATAATATATTTTTTCTTAAGAAAAGTATTTGAAAAATTTATATGTTTTCTCACTAAATTTCTCACTTTCAATCGAATTTCTCGACAGTAAACTTAGCAATTGTTAAGATTAGTAAGAAGAAATCCGTGGTATGTTCATGGCACAGAGCCAACTTCTTCATCAAGTTAAGTACATTACAGTTAAACTTTAAAGAAATACCTAAGAAATTTGTTTATATTTAAACTTTTTAATGTCTCATTTTATGGTTAAAAAGATTTTTTTAAATTAAATAATTATCCTGAAGAATAGAAATTTACAAGATGTTCATACTCTATAAGCCATCAGTTTACTCTTTAAGAACAAATGTAATTACATATCCAAGAGATCTTGAAGATTTTTGGGATTAAATTGTCGATTGGCAATTCCTAATGCATCTTACTTCATATTCGTGTCGATTCATCTTATTACTAACTCAATTTAATGAATTATTTTCCATTTATTCTTCACATCATTTCAAAGAAGCTTAACACAAGATTCCAGAATTTCATCTCTATACTGTTATGGAGAAGTCAAAGCTACTTCTGTATCATTCGTTTCTTCTGTTACCAAGTTTATTATATGAAATTAAGCATTCTCTTCAGATAGTTGGAAATAATAGTTGTATAAACTGAAATGGGATTTATCCGTAAAGAAAATTTTTATCTATTTAATACCGATCTTTATGTTTTTAATTCTAGAATAGAAAATTTTCTCTGATGTGACAAGAATGCAATATCGTATAGCTTAGATACAAAATATTATTAATAAGTTCCTACTGAAATTATTATTCTTATCACTGCTAGAAACTTTCGATAGAAATAGAATTTCCTGCCGAGTTCTCTAGTCGATCTCGCAGATATCCTTCAACATGGGAATAGTTAATGCTGCAAAACTTGTGTTAAGTCACAAGTTTCAAATCAGGTCACAAATTACTCAGTTACAACTGAGTAATTTTGAACTTATATAAACATTTGTAAACTAATAGGAGTATTGAAGAACGTTCATAATGGTCCAAAAGTGAATATATTATGCTTTTATCATAGATAAAGTGTAATGTTTCTTCGTTTTCTACGGTGTCGACGGTATTATGCATCCTAATGTTCTAGAAAGTTTACTCATTCCACAGTTAAACATGATGACATAAGGATGTGTAGCGTAACGCCAATGGCACCCATATGAAACTGGAGATAATGAATTAATGCTTTAAATAGTTCTATCATTATTCTGATTAACATTCAACATGCTTTCAAAGTTGAAACACCTGTTTGAATCACCCAGTATATTAATAATTTATTGATAATTAATTGAGTTCTTAACAATTACTTACTAATTGTTAAGTGGTATTGGATTAGATTAATGAAATAAAGCAATACACGCATTATTTTTAAGAAGTAGTTTCGGTTAGGGTCATAAACCACTTTTCATAGAGAAGCAGGGGTCTAAGTTGTATAGTTTGTGTTTTAATCATAATGGGCTCGTAATATTAAAGTAATTCCTGTGGTTGACCTCATAAATTTACGTGTTCAATGTTATCTGACTAAAAGTCATCATGTGTGAAGAAAGGAAATGTAGCAGCAGGTAAACTACTAATAGATGACACCGAAGTGGTTGTTGGAAACAATTAACTTGTATTATTTTAGACATCTTACTGACAAATTGTTAAGAATTAAACTACCAACAAGCAGTATCTTCAGGTTTAAGAAATCTGTTCTAGAGGTTTTTCAATACTTTAGAGACTTAATTCCAGTAAAGTATTGAAAAAATAATCAAAATTCTACATATTTGACGGCCTTAAAAATTTATTTGTCTAAAACAATTTTGAAAACATTTCCTCACAAATGTTTCCTGTTGTAACAAGATTATAAAACTCTTATTCTTTTATGACAAACAATGCCAAAAATATAATATTCGAAAATGCCACAAGCAATAGAATATCAAACGTATTTTTGTTTTATCGTTCTTCTGTTTCTGTTGAAGACTAAAATTTTAAACATTTCTTCATGAAATATCGATCATATTTTATATTTAAGCTAATCTACACATTGTAGAGAAGTTACTGTTCAAATTATTAATTACATTTTTATCATATTGCAATAAAATTAATGATATTTAGACCTCTTGAGGTTGAATTGAAAGATGCTCTTGATGCTCAGTTGAGAAAATCGTGGCAAATTCCTCTAATATGAACGATTCCAGCACTATAAAACCTTTCCTGATGATGTTCAAGATAAATTCAATTAACATATTGTGTGGAGCAATAGGAAATTGTTCTAAATTAACTATCCTTCAGTTATTCAAGTGATATATTTCATGTCTAAGTGTCCCTAGAGGCATTTGGACAATCTGATTCTCTTAACGATAGAGTGCAAGCGTATCAACTACTTTAGTCTTATAAAACTAATAGGAATCGATACGAGTTTCATTCTTCGAAGGTTCACTTAACTGTCTAATTTAGCCAAATTCTAAATTAAATAACATAATTTTAGCTTTCTTGTTAAATTCGCGAGCAATTATTCAATTTTGGTCTTATTTAATAACACATTTTATTAATAAAAATGCGAGGGAAGTAAATAATGCAGTCAAACAGAAACGTATCCGAAAAAAATGGCCGCTATTCAGAGCTGATACACCAACGTGTATGAATTTAATGCTCTTTAAAACATTAACATGATGCATTAATCAATGATAAAAACGTTTTATTATTATTTATTTCTTATAGTACTATAAATAACAATTCCTTTCTGCACACCAGTGCTAGTACTTTGTAGTGGGTTTGCACCTAATCAACGAGTTGGCCACGTGAAATTTTCCTGTTTGCTCCATGTGTCTAACGTCTAACACTTTGCACTTTGGAGCAAATACTAATGGACCAAACACTATTTCTCTAGTGTTTGCTTCGGGTCTAACACCTGTCTAACACCTAACACTATATGTCTATTACCTTTACGTGTTACAAACATGAAACAATTAGGGACAATTCCCCATATAAGTTCTTAAGAAGGGTATATCGTCCTCGTGTAGCCTTGCCATAAATTCAAATCAACTCATTGAATTTATTTAGTTTTATTTAAGTACATTTAGTAAAATCAACTTTAAATATGAATAAAAATTAATGACTATTTAATTAGATTTTCTGGGAGAATTCTTCAGTGTGTAATATAAGATCCATATGCTATAAAATTTCGATTTACAAATGTTTCATATAACATTAATATACGAAATATCTGTGTCTTTTGAACATTTTCTAGTTAAGATTGCATGCATAATAATGGAATTATGAATGTAAAACTGTGAAAAAATACTTATTATCATACTGAATTTCCATTAGAAATCATATTCCTACGCAATTTTTTCTGCTCGAAGCCATAATTCCTATAGTTTTCAACGTAGTATATTGATAGACCTTAAGTATACGTTATTCTTTTTAATAATTTGTGGAATAATGAATTTTTAATAATTATTAAAACAATCAATTAAGCCAAACATCGTTAATTTCAACAAGAAAATTAATGAATTTTTATCAACACACCTTCCTGAGATCATACTACTCATCTAAGGACTTTCTTGTTGAAATTTTGAATTGGATAACTGTTAGGAACGACATACGCTCTGGTTATTGATAAGCCTATGAAAGGGACAATATAGAAGAGAAATACAAAGAAGGTTCTCTCTCATCCTCCACAGAGAGTTCCTCCCTCAAGTTCGATCAAACCTAAATGATCACTTCATTCGCCTCTGAAGAATTATAAAGCATTCTCTCTTTTATGATGGATGTTAATACACAAGGACATTTTTCGGCACCAACGAAGAACCTAATAATTTCTAAGACGATCACGTACGTACCATCGCGAGCCACCGTCGCGTGACCTCCTATTTCTGGTCGTGTGACCCCAACACGTCTCAGAGGATCCTTTTGTAATTGAAGATAAGATCGAAATGTAAGTGAATAACCGATTTAGAAAGTGACACCAATAATCATTATTTCTTTTATTAAAACCTAAAATGAGATATTGGCTATTATTATTATAATTTATCTTTGTGTAAAACGATTTATAATAATCGTTTATATCAATAGAACATTATCGAAACAAAAATAATTAGATGCATAAACTGATAAATCAATTTATGTATTGATTTATCTTGGATTGAATTCGTTCCTTCAGCTTTTAAACATGAAAATGTCGTCATTCTGGATGATTTATTGTAGATAAAACTATGCGTAATGATTACATAAATTCCATTTATGTAATTTAAACGCTCTTACATAATAAAAGATTAACACCATTAGAAATTCTTTACTTTTAGCTGATATGCAGCCTTTTTTTTGCCAAATTCAAGAATTTATTCAACAATTCAAGGAATTTGTTAGTATGAATTACTCCCTTGATTTACCACTGCTGACTTTATAATTTATTTTTATGTATAAGTTCCTAATTATAATTGTATAAAATGTTGTATTTCAGTTTATTTTGATGTTCTGCTGTGTAGTTTAGAGGGTATTTACGTGAACAGAACCTGAATTTATAACACTACACTTGTGAGAAATTTGAGTTTGATTTACGACGTCAAGGCATATAAAGACTATATAAAGGCAATTATCAAAGACTACAATCAAGAAAAATATCTAGTTACATCCTTCAATATAAAAACAATATTCTTACAGAAAATAACTTCACGAAAGTTTGATAATTAATTAATATTAAGTAATTATAATAATGGAATAACGCAGCAAGGTATGTTTTAATTGTTAATTTTTGTACAGAAATTCTTCGTGTATTAACTCTGTTTAGATTTAATTTCTTCTCTTTACCACTACGAACGCTACAATCTCTGATAGCTCCTCTAGACCACTTCAAAAGCTATTCTGATTGGTTGCGACGTTTTGTAACCGGAACTCTCAACAAAAGTAAGAATGAGAAGGTGACTTTGTTGAGTTAATCAGTTGAACTGTGTGATAAGAAGTAGACGTGTTGAACATACGCCAATTGTCGATCGGAATTTTCCCTTCCAAAGAAGCATCACCGCATCACTACTGCATATTGACTGCTATCAAATGGAGACAACCACTGCTAAACAGTATCACATTGACAACAGGAAAGAATGCTTGTTGCATTATAATAACATATCTTACACAATTATTTTTATTTCCAAACTGATTTTAACCAGTTCTATAGTAAGGTAACATTCCAATAGGCAATATGCAAAGCTTTTTTTTCAGTTTACAGCAATATTTATTACACAAAATTTAAGTAAAGCTTAACATGCCGATCTTGTTCCGGTCTCCCCTATATAATGTTACTCTTGTAAAAACTTAGAGTGTGAAATGCTTTATGCTGTATACTACATGCATCATACTAGAAGACGAACATTTTGTGCTAATTCTCCAAAAGGTATGCAATTATTTCTAGTACATATTATGTTCATCATTTTAACTATAANACTTGTGAGAAATTTGAGTTTGATTTACGACGTCAAGGCATATAAAGACTATATAAAGGCAATTATCAAAGACTACAATCAAGAAAAATATCTAGTTACATCCTTCAATATAAAAACAATATTCTTACAGAAAATAACTTCACGAAAGTTTGATAATTAAAAGAAAGAAATTTTATCGCATCAATTTATTTAAGAATAAAATAATAAACTATTTTTCTTTATTTATCATCTCAAGAAAGATGTATTTTTCTGTCTTTTATTTAAGACAGTTCATAAATATGAAACTAAATAAAGTAAAATTTTTAAAAATTACAAATTTAACTTGTCTCAGAAATGTATATAAATACTTTAAATACTGTCGAATTATGTATTTGTTTAAATTGTTATGAAGAATGTTAATTAAATAACACGATTACTGTCTTAGTTCAATCTGTGTAATAGGGTACAAGTGTTTTCTACTCTCTACAAGCTGTGGCGACGTGTTCAACTTCATTCCAATCAATACTATGTTGCATCGAAGGTTTTTTGTTACATTACAATCCCCCATATAATACATTTTTTGAGGTATCTAATTTAAAACATATCACATCCTTTTATCCAGAGAATTTATTATTTTAATTAATGCTAACGTTTCTGACGTCTTTATCACCCATCATTAGACATAGGATAACATAACTAAAAATTCCAAAGTCAAAACGTGAGCATTAACCTTAGCATCTTCCTACTCACGTCTATCCTAGCATCCCATTTCATGTCTATCTTAGAATCTTCCCACTTCACGTCTATCCAAGCTCCAATAAAAAACTGTCAAAGCTGAAATCATACAGTATTTTTTATCGTGTTTTCATCGATTTTCTAAAGGAAAAACGTGTTCTAAATTCAGATTTCACATAAAAAATGTATGTGGAACAGCACTCGAAACGAAACATGGTTAAGTAACTTTTGGAACACCATTTTAGTGTTTAAATATCACTAACTGATCGATAAAAGTTGCTTTATGTAATAACTTTTTTTATATTTTTCGTATTTAAAAATACATTTTTATACATCTTGACACTAAAAATTCTATAAACGTTTTCAAATTCTTGAGAGATTCCATACATTTTTAGATGAAAGTAAAGCGATGATAATCTATTTTTGATATCTTCTAACGATACCTGCATCACCAATATTTTCAGATCATTCTACTATTTTCTTTTATACTTTCGACTGGTTTTCTGTCAAGAATACAATGAATTTTGACACCTTTTCTTTGGATTATTATAAAAAGAAATACATCTGATGTGGCATTATTCTTTCAGTACATAAATCAGTTCGACTTTTGTACGTTCCACAAGAAACGTATGAAGAAAAGCATAAATTTAACAACATTTCTTTTGTATTTAATGAATTTATTACTGCATTTTCAATTGATTAATAATGAGAATTTTGTTGTTTATTTATTTATTTTTTAATTAAAATTACTTTAAAATAATTTACGAAGTTCTCTCGGTAAGATTTATCATATACAAAGTAATGGAGGATGTGGATTTGTGTTAAGAAATGAAGTATGAAGAGTAAACTTTTGATAAATTATTGGGTTTAATAACTATAATTTACATGTTTATTAATGTATTATTTCAAGAAAAACTGTGTTGATACGTTCAGGAAGAATTTACAATTTGTGCTGCATCACGAGATGCAGCATAATGTGATTTCGAGAGCATTTCTGATGCATAAGAACCTACAGACACAGAGCTGTATCTTTGCAGAAAAGACATCATTATTATATAATAGGTATATTGACTTGGGTATGCATCAGAGTAACTAGAAACAATATCAGGAGGGCCTAATTAGAAGATGTAAACTTAAATTCACCCCAGTACCATTGGATATATTCACTAGCGCTGTATAGACACGTAATATATTTAGGTAAGGGGGCCCTTTCTTGGTTACTTTACTGGTCAGTTGGTTGTTGTTATTATCAATATATACGGCAATTCAATCTGACTAAGGGAATCCCCCTCTGGAGGACTTTCTATGGAAAAACTCGCCTTTATTAAAGTGTTTACAAACGTGGCCAGCCTATTAACAAGGCTCGAACCCACGACCAACTATATAGTGGTGATAAACCCACTCGACTACTGCCAGTTAGTACATTAATTTGTAATTACGGTACATATTCTATGCTATTATTTGAATTAAAAAATATGCTAGAAGCTATTTTCATCCAGACATTTAGCGTTTTCTTCGCTCTCTAATACTTAATGGTTGAAAAACTTGCAAGGATTGAACTTTTAATTGTCTCATAAATCGGGTTTAGAAAGGATTTACGAAGAAATTAACTTTATTTTTTCTCAGTAAAATAAGTTAAGCAACCGTGCTTGTTGGTATTTATCTCATTATCTGCAAAGCTTAAATATGAAACTGTGTATTTAAATATGCAATATATTATTATAAAGAAAAATTACAAATTCCCTGAATATCTTACAATATTCTACTCCTAAAGATTTTCAACATTAAATTTCAAATGAACGTATCTAAAGAAAGCCTAAAACATTTTTTAAAAAATATTTTAATGCCTATTTTAAAATCAGAAACGATTTTTATCGAATAATTTTCGAATATTAAACTCGTTAGAAATTTGAAAAACTTCGAAAACACACAAAAAATACCCGAAAAACTCCCTGCAAATATATCGAATCCACAACCACGTGCCAGGTTATTTGACAGGTGCAAACCAACGACTAGTGTCGCGGGTTCGCACCTGTCAAATAAGCTGGAATATGGAGTTTTTCAAGTTTTCTTCACATATATAACACTTGAATAGGTGATAGTTTCCTATAGAAAGTATTCCTCCCCGGAAGGCATCACCCCTCGTTAGAACTCACAAGTGTAGTGTTGTCTGGTGGCAATCCACTTTCCTAAATATTGATTTTATATTAATTTTTTCTCACTTTTTCTATTAAAATTGTAGAGTGAGATGTCTTCTGTATTGAAAATAGCATAAAAAGTCGAAAATAATTTCCATAAACGCATTCCATTTTCTACTTAAATGAGTTCTAAACTATTCCTAGAGCAACAATACTACTTGATGAAAATATATGCTTGAGGATTTTTCTATAATTTGGAATTTAATATATAGAAAAAGACATAGAAAAATAGATTTTAAAATAATAATAATTATTATTATTATTCATTCGATACTGTGTTATAATTGGTATAACAGTATGTAACCTGTTTATACAGTTATTTATGACTGTGTACCTACCTACCTACCTGCTGATTGTTCATAAAGTTATTTATATTTAATTATTTAATAATTATATGAAATGATCCCTAAATATAGAATATAATAAAGAAAAGTAGACTTTTTGTATATTTTATAAATAGTTTTATATTAAATATTTATGAAACAGTAGTTTCAGAACAATAGTTTTGTTATGGTACTCTTGACTTGCTCTCAGCCAGTATTAAAATCAGGTCAAGATATTGATTTGACCTTTTAATGCTGGTTGAGATAACACTCAACCAGTATTAAAAGTTAGATGAGGAGGAACATATACAGATGATGAGGAGCATCGACTGTCACAAAAGTTTCTCTGGTTCTTTGCCAATTTTTACAACAAAAAAAAAAAACAATAAATTACAACGTATGAAACCTGGGAAAATCAAAGAAATTTTAATGAAATCAACTAATATTTAAATTTTCTTCTTTGCCTTTAATTGCTTTTAAGTATTAATAAAGTGATGTTCCTTCATTAAAGAACCAAATTCTAAATAAATTTGAATTCTTTCGTGAATTGTAATTAATGTTTTTACCATTACCATGGTCGTTGGGATGAATTAAATTCATGGAAATAAGGCAATACAACAAATGGCAGCTCTTCCAAGGAGTGGTGAATATGAGAAATAGCTTAGTATTTAAATGTTAGACACGTGAGAAAATCTCAGAAAAACTCCACGAGCCAGATGCGAACCCACGACCAGTGGTGAGTAGTTTCATTAACTTGATCACTGGTGGATTATCATAGAGCCCAACGTATCTGGAACAGACCACCCATGAAAAATTCCTTGGGCTCTCTACCCAGATTTAATCCTGGGTTGGATTCCAAGTACATTCGAACTTTCAATAACGGCCACCTCTAAATGATGGCCATTTTCCCAAAAAAGTTGAAAAGACATACACACAAAATAACCTGCAAACAACGGCCATATTTTCAGTAGCCTTTGTTCACAGTTATAATTTTACATAAGTTATGTTGCTGTATTACTTAATTATTGTACACTTATACAACATCGTTTCAGTAATGACCCCTTTGTTCTTGCATAGGACAAAATTTTCTTTTATAATCATTTAAAATAACTTATGTTAAATAAAACATCAATTTTATACAAAAATATGCGTAATTTAATACTAAAGTCGAACCTCTAAACAACGGACAATGACGGAAACAGAAAATAGCCGTTGTTTGAAGGTTATTTGTTCAACTCTGAAAATATGGCAGCCATTCACAGGTTATCGTCGTTGGGATGTGTCCGCTCTTACAGGTTCGACTGTATTTATGTAATGAATTTGATTATTTACATTCTCAGAAATTGTAACTTTAAGTATATAAAACTTAATTAAAGTAAAATCTACACGAAGAATGCTATTATATGTATTATAATAACTTTTTATAATAAGTGTGACGTATTAATCTTGGTATTAACC